GGGGTCCATGTTAGCAGTTGAAAAATGGTGGTGATAGGAGAGGATTTACCTTGAATCATACTGACCCTGTTCTCGGTTTCCCTCACTTCGCATTGTCGTTGAGTATGATTGGGATATCCTATAGCGTGCACATCAGCGATCTAGTCTAATATTTGCTTACCTGAAAGAAGTAACATCTCCTTCTGAGGTCGACTGGTCAAATGGATTCCTATTATGAATCACATCTTCGATGGATTTACGAAGAATGTAACCAGACGGGTCTTGCACCGAGTCAGCTTTCATGATCGTCTTTCTTGGCGTACAGACTGGGATACTCACCTGCAGTCGATGGTCTCTGTTCCACAGATGATGGTCTGGTATTTATTATTGACTTGGAACCAGCAGCCGTTCTTGGGTATGCATTTCACCGCATGGCCAAGTCGTAGCTCGTCCCGCGGTCCTCTACCTGCGCTTCTTAGGGCTTGTGAAGCTTCCCGTCGTCTTTTTGTGGCCTTAGTGTCTTTGCTCGTTGCGACGCTGTCTGCTGGCCTCCATCGCTGTAAAAAATGCCTGATCATGTCGTCGAAGCTGACTGTTTGCAGTCTCAATGAGGGATACCATTGCCGCCCTCCATCCAGGAATCGCATCCACACCAGGTTGGTCAGCCCTCATTCTCGCCAGCTGTACCTCTACATTCGGATACAACGGTGTCGGCGGCCCAATAGTGTGCGGCGCACCTCGTGGCCTGGGAACATCGTCATCATCTTCTGATTCGGACCAAGACCGATTGTGTTGCGTTCTGGGGACTTAAATGGTAGCCATTCTACCGTCGGGAACTCGTTGGGCATCACTGTATGAGTCTTCATCTAAAAGCTTGTTTGGGCGTAGGAAATCATCGTTCTGGAGTCTAGGCGGCTTCGGGTTGGAAAGGGTTGTGTCTTTCGACGGAGGGCGGTGGTAACTCGTGTCGACGTGGAGGCTATGCAGGCCGGTCAAAAGGGTTGCGATCTTCCTCGTTTGTGAAATACCTCCCAGACTGGCCCGCCCAGTTGGCGATGCTTAATGCCGTCGCTGGGAAGGGGTGGTAGACGCTGTTGAGGGTATAGTAGGTGGTGTAACAGTCCGGTGAGCATGGAATCACATTCTCCGGAATCCCCAAGAACTCTTCAACGGTTTTAGATTCCATGCTCATCACAACACCGCAAACACCGGAGGACAGAGTCCCATAAAACACGAAATGGTAGTAGCTCGCCGAGTCCCAGGGGGTCCGTTTCAACCGAGAGAATGTGCTCGGGGACAAAGGTTTTACTGTGGATCTGCACAATAACGACGCTTGATGATGCAGAGCTTCTGCAGATTGACAGCACCTCATGTTGGCAAATCCTGATGCTGCAGTATTTAGACTAGAGTTCCCCCAGAGGACGACGAAAATGCGACTGAATCGAAATGGTGGGCGCGCGCCAAGTTCCAAGTGTGCGTCTGGGATAACTCCAGTAGTCTGAGCTCCAGAAGTGAATATCACCGTGCGGAGCGAGTTACGAACTGGAGAACTGAGAATTCAACAGCGGTGTAGAACAACTGGCCAAAATTTCAGGACCACTGGGTCTCGCAACGTGAAAGTTGAAAAATGAAGGTAAGGAAAAGAAGGACGGTCGCAAGAAGTTTCTTATCGTATGTGAAGTGAGCTTGTCGTAAATACCTTCCTAAAGAGTAATTGTCTGAATGGCGAATGAACGCAGTCTTGATAATATGCGTAGTTTGTGTGGGGCCCGACAGGACCAAGAGAGAAGGCGATGTCTCTGGATTCTATTCTGAATTGCAGCAGTACCAAGAGCGGAGGCGATATATCTTTTGCCTCTATTCTGAATTGCAGCTCATAAGTCGGGAGTACATCGAATGGCAATAAATGTAGCGTCTGTTTGGATAACAATATTTCGAGAGTAACTTGGAGACGGTTGTTGAATGTTGCATCGATTTGTATTAGAACGAATGATGAAGGTTGGATGAACTCTGAAAATAACTTTTAGACGTGTACTTATTAGCTACTTATTATTCCGCAAATGATGGAAAGATGAAAACATAGAAAGTTTATCTCACTTGGCATAGCTCCGGACCACCTTTTTTGATTATACATTTTGTATTTATCGTACTCAATGTATTGTTTTTTGTATATTTTCTAAACCCCGAGACAATGCCAAATCGCTTAATATTTTCGTATTTTTTCCCGTTTCTATTTTTTTTTTTGAAATTAAACATTCATCTATATCCTATGGCACCCTCCCTTGTTCGCCGTGGGTGCGTGTGCCAACTCTTATCTTTTGCGCTTTCCAGTCTCCGCTTCTGTGGAAGCTGCGACACTCCGCTCATCACCCCGAGTAGGTGGTCGGGCTACTGACTGCTGCATCCATTGAGGACTAAATCTGACATGTAGGCGGCAGTTGTACAAAACGCGCTTATCGCAGATCAGACCAAACGATGTGTACTGATAAAAATACCCGCTCCTCTTTCTCATCCAGCATGCACTGCGTCTCGTAATACTCTCGCTTTTCCAACCCGAAGCAGCCTACACAAAGCCACTGGCATGGCGCATAGTTCGCCATCGAAAATCTCTTTCTTTTTTTCCCTAGATGGTAGTCCAAGTTTTCCATTCTACTGCCAAGCACCCGGCGAGGCTGGATGAAAAGAAGTATCCATGGACGAACCTTTCGGTTAATCTTCTCGAATATCCGTGCTCAACTGGAACCCCCAATGAGATATAGACGAAGCGGATAAAATGTACCTGATGACGTATTACACGAATACGTCGGCGACAGAAGTTTTATCTCTGGTCCATATTCTGAATTGCGAGTAGGTTTTATGGAAAGTTTTATTTAGCTTGGAACTATACTCGTAGAATACCTATCCAAGCCGGTGGAAGAACCTCATTAGCCTGGTTCTTTCTAACTATCACCATTCGCTATCATCATGGAATATGTTGGAGGTATTATACTACCTTTTGGGACCGTTTACTTTGATTCACCGCTACCTCATGGGAGCCATGATTGCTGACTCTTACCCCTCCCCGGAGGGGTGAGAGTGATGATCGGTGAACGTTGATTGGTGTGCTCTCGGTGGAATAGGGTTTGGGAAATTGACAAGGATGTTTGCCAAGTCCTAGAACAGGCATGCTTCTTATGGTTGCATGCGAAGTGAGCATGCCGTCATGGTTTATAATTCACGGGCCGGTTAACACTGGAGACTTTGAACTACTGATCCTAGTGGTGCCATTACTAGGATAATGGGGAAAATAATATTTATTTAATTACGTAGTTTTATCACTATTTCCTCTGAATTTCATCAAGGAAGGTAGCGCGTTAAGTTTAGCGAGAGCATCGAAGAGAAGGGTGTGGTAGTTTTCGATGTCTTCATTTTATTCTTTCTCCAGTTTGGGGCACGCTAGACAATTTAGCACAAAGACCGTGGAATTGAAGTTACCCAAAGAAGGGCCGTGGACATGCGTAGCCAAGGCAACTAATGCGATGTCTTGGACTTTAGCGATAACCGAGTTTGTAACTCCTTTCACTAATAGTGTTATCAGATGGATGATAAGGAACAAGGAAGCTAGAGTAGGACACGGGCTTGGCGTGATGGGAGTTAAAACGAAATAACTACCCCCATCTACTCGTTTGCAACACATCCTCGGGTGCAGTGGATCTGCTCTCGCATATGATGGTTTGCGGCTTCGATTGTATTTAGTGTGGTCGTTGGAGGGCAAATCCTTTTTCCGGAGCAGGCGGGCGGAAAGCGAAATTAACTGGTTCCACTCCCCTCTTTTCTTAAACTTCATGTTCGCTAACGTCGCGTTCTGCCACGAGCTCCAGTCCTCCATAACATCCGAGGACGTGTTGCAAACGAGAATCTCGATGGTGGACCTATTGTAGTCGAATTAGCGGGGGCTGACGGAATCAGACATAAAAACGAAACGGTCAATCATAAACATGGGCTGTTAAACGAAAGGTTTATTTTTTTTTAAAATTTCCTGGTCATAAACAAATATTGACGTCTTTGCCGCGCCTTGATGCTCGTGCAGCGCCTTCAGCCTCTCTACTCTACGCAGCGTCAGAAGCTTCTACAAATATTTGACGCGGTATCAACAAATCATCTAGACCACGTTATATACGCGGATGCTATGGCGCATCCCAAGTTTTGTGGCACTAGTGGCATCCTCGTGAAGCGCAGAGAGCTTGTACACAGCTTCTCAATCGCTGCTTGAACACACCTTAAACCTTCCACGGAGCCTACTTATAATGGGACATCTACAGAAACAAGGCATTCGGTTGAGGCAGTCTAATGGCAAGGAAGCCCAGAGAGTTGTGTTTGACGCGGCAGCGTCGCGGATTCTGAAGCTGCTAGCGTCCACAGCCTAAACAAACTTGTACACAACGCAGTCCGTCTTTAAGTCTCGACTCTCCCCAACCTGCTTTGCTAAGCTCGCTTCTTCTTCGCATATTCTCGCTTCATATCCCCCGCTTCCCTGGTTTCCTGGTTTCCTGGTTTATGGCATCTTACTTGCTTCTTCTCCGCGGCCCTACTGTCTCCTACACCCCTTTTCCGCTGGAGAATGAAATTCCTGAATTTGAATTTCACCAGAGAAGAAGTTGAAAAGTACCTGGTAGACAAAATCATGAGATTTGTAAAGGCTTGTGTATCCGTAAGTAGGTCAACATTGGAATCACTGTTTTTTGCATTTTGTAAAAAATATTTCATAATTTTAGATTCATGAACACACACCCTCCTCATCCCATCCTCATCCCATCCTCTCACCATCCTCATCCCATCCTCTCACCATCCTCTCACCATCCTCTCACCATCCTCTCACCATCCTCTCACCATCCTCTCACCATCCTCTCACCATCCTCTCACCATCCTCTCACCATCCTCTCACCATCCTCTCACCATAACAATCAAACCGCTGATTACAACCAACACCGAAGGCTGCGTTTTCTATTCTCTTATGAGATAAAATACCAGAAAAAAAAGACCGTCAAGAACAGGATTCGAACCTGCGCGGGCGAACCCATTTGATATCGTCGAAGGTAATTCGAGTCAAACTCCTTAACCACTCGGACATCTTGACTTATACTCTGAGCAACCATTCAGCTTATATGTGCAAATTACTGCTGTTTCATTTCATTAGAATCAACGGAATGAAACTTTCATCTTCTCATATTCGAGGCTAAAGACAAACCGTCGGTACCGTAGCCTCGTTGCTAGTGGGATATGAATGAACCCAATAGTTAGTGCTACCGTAAACGCTGTGAATACAGTATCATAGCGGAAAATTATGTCAGACTCAAGCCGGCAAATCGAGCCGATGAGACTCAGAAGAGTAACTTCATTAAACTTGCTCCATGTTGTGAATACTGAAATACCGGGTGTTGATGAAACATCGCCAAATCAGAACAATAGTCTGCATGCCTAGGGGGCTGAGAGAGGATGAACTGAGGACAGCTATGCGAGGTGGGGACTCTGGTTGAGGGTGTTATGGTTGAAAAATGAGCTGGAAATGGGGTTGTTAAATATGTTAAACGTATTTCACGTTTTCACCCTTGAGCCTTGGGCCTTTGCATTGATGATTGTCCATTTTCCAATTAGATCTCAAAAGACAGGGTGATGGAACTCCAACTGATTTCTCTTCTTCTTTCTCCATGTCATAATCATCATCATAAACTAAATACCTAGCTAAGTCGTCAACAAAACATCGCCATTTTGGTATAAGTACTTAAATAAAAACACCTCTTTTTATCATCTCATTCATAAATCTTTCGTTGCATTCAATATTATCCACCATCTTTTGTTGTGTGGTTATCGATCCCTGTCGTAAAAACATCTGTTACAAAAAAAAAAGAAAAAAGAAAAACTTCAAAAACCTCAAAAACTTCAAAAACTTCAAAAACTTCAAAAACTTCAAACAATCCGCTAAGTATTTCCAATCTAGATAAACCTCCCTAAATAATCAAAACCCAAAATATAATCATTTTTTTCCGTTCCGCAACCCAGGAAATTGTCGTTAAATAAGTATTATTGCACCGCCGCGCTTGTGGCCGTCGGTGATTTCTGTCTCTTCTGGTCTCGTCTTCCTTTACTCTTTTCTCTTTAATCCCTGTTATTGTTCCCTTATTCTCCCCAATTCATCGGTAGAGGCAGCTAGCAAAGCAGGAGGGGGCGAACGGAGCGCGGAGCGCAGAGCGGATAAGATCCCAATCTAACGCCCGCGTAGCGAAGACATGGACCTAACACCCCTCATTCCCCTCTCCCTCTCCTGAACCGCAGCCGCCATACCAGTCAACCCAGCAAGTTCCCTACTATTCCTCTGCACCTTCCTAGTATCTCGGGCACCCCTGGTCTCCCTCCGTTGCTGTGGCGTATAATTGGTGCAAAAGGGACATACAAAGACTTGTGGAAGTGATTTTTTGGAATGACCGAGACACCGAATATGGAGCCAGAAGGTACAGGATTCACTATATTGATGGATTATTAGCAGTTGCTCGTTATGTACTTGTGCCGCGCACAATACCTACCATTGTACCATCTGTCCATCCTCCTCCCCCCTACCACAAAGGCACCTAGTAATCCCCTCATCATCAACCTCCTCATGCCCATAACTCGCCATATCCCCCATATCCCCATCATCGTCCCCCTCCCCATCTTCACCATCTCTTTCATACCCCTCCTCCTCTTCTGTCAAGCCGTAATCCGTTCCACTCGCATAATCAGGATCCGTAATAGTAGTCGGGCTGATATCTCGGGATGCAGCGGAGCTGGGACGGTGGTAACCCCCGTCTGCGGGTTGACGGCGCTTGCGGCGGGAGGTAAAGGAGGAGGGGAAGGAGGGGGAGATTTGGGGGGTGGATTTGAGGGACTTTGTGGGAGAGGAGAGGGTGCTTTGGCTGTTGGGGGCGAGGCGGGGTACGAGGTCTAAAGGGGTGAGGGAGGGGCGGGAGGCAGTTGAGGCTGTGGATGGAGCTTTGGAATGTCAGTCAGTATCCACTACCCTTAGTAAAATTGGGGGTAATTGGCTATGGTGATGGGGAAAGTCGATAGGTTGGGGTAATGAGTGTATAAAAAAAACCAAAGAGAATGAATAAGCGTACCTTCGCTCGCTCCGTTTCTTCCTCGTACGACTTTACGCAACGCTGATACAGCATCAGTATCATCATCCTCCATCTCCTGATCCTGATCCACCACTGTCTCCGCTTCAGACCCTTCATCCCTAATAGTAGCCGGTGTCGGTGCATCCGCGGTATTCGGCCTCCTCACCTGTGGGGGCGAACTCTTGAAGGGTGTCGGTAGCCCTGGGCTCGAGTCTAGCGCTCTTCTAGGGATGGCTGCAGATATCGCCGACATCGTCGAAGGTCCTGGGTGTGGGTGCATAGGAGCCGGCGGTAACGCAAACAGCCCAGCGGCAGGCAGAATATTCGGTGCCGGCGGTGTCTGCGGAGCAGCTGGAACTGTATGATCTCTCCGTAATGGCTCAATGGAGATGGAGGAGCGAGATTTTGAACCCCGCATTGAGATCCTTCCTTCCCGCATGCCCTGTTTTCGACGGCGGTAGGAGAGGTATTCACCACCATCTGGTGCTAATCCACGAGGACTGCCTTCGTCGAAGCTGCTATCACTTTCTTCCCCCGAATCCCAGTCTGGTGTTGGTTCTTCCCCAAGGGGCTCATCTACATCTGTTGGGACCAACGGGGAGGTTGGTTCGGCGGGTTCGTGAACCACCGTAGTCTTGGCTATGGCTCTACCATCCGCGGCGATGGTTAGCACCACCTCAGTGTGGGAGCGAGCTGAAGCCATGGATTTCATTGGCGAAGTTCGAGATTTATTGAAATACCGCACAGGATACAATGGGATATTCTCCTCGTTTTCATCATTCTCGGTCTCTCCCTCGGTGACGGACGCTCGGGGGTGTTGGTGTCTGCGTTTCCGGTGGACACTGTCACCCTTATCCTTCCTCGCTGCTCTGCGGGCTCTACGTTCCTCCTGCTCTCGTTGGCGTTGGAGGTTCTGGTGATGGTAGGGGCCGCGGCTGGTGGGATGGGAATCGTGAACACCGTCTATCATGGAACTGGCTGTGGATGAAGGTTCCGAGAACAAGAGGTTCGGGTTAACACTCCCGGGAGCGTAGTTACTGTAATGTTGCTCTGAGTAATCCGAGTCAAAGGAAAATAAAAAGTTTGCTGAGTCGGTGGTTAGGTCGGGGGTTACGGCACGAGCTGTAAACATGTTTTGGCGGATGACGCTCCAGCCGGGTTGTTGGTCTTGTCGGGGAAGGGGGGGAAGAGATAAGCCGTCGTCCCAATAAAGGGCTTTCTGGGTGTACGGCCCTGCATCCCGGGGGGAGAGGCTGTTGATAGCTGCTTGCCGTCGGGGGGTTAGAGAGTGGGATGTGTTCAAGGAGGAGACTGAAGATTGATGGAGCTTCGCCGGGCTTGCTTGAGGTGCCCGGGCGAGCTTGCTAGGCGAGGTGTGTGGAGGAGATAGAACGGTATTGCCAGTGGATAGGCTTCGCTGGATTGGAACTCGTGGTCGCTTTTTGATTCCGGCGCTGCTGGAAGGGGGTGTTTGCATTCCGTGCTCCGTGTCCTTGTCTTGTGTTTCCACAGCAGGACGTTCCAGTGGTGGGATCGAAGCAGATAGAGAGGGCTTCGCTGGTGATTCTGTCTTCAATCCCGCCGAGCTTCCCTTCTTTGCTAACCCCCTATGCCGCTTTGTAGGTGATGCATTACCCGCACTGTAGTCTCCTGAAGTATGCTTCTCAGCATCTCCGGGTGCAGTAGCTTGTAGTGTAGGACCTCCAGCTAGACTGGCATCTAACCCCGTCGCAGCTTGTCGTTTCCTTGATCCAGCTGCTGCCGTGTGTCCCCGTCCATAGTTCGTAAAGTCCTCAGGTAGCGTGTTATGCCATGTTAATTGGGTTGCTTGCGGCCTCGACATCGGGGGGGTTTATCTGTGTTGTCGAAGTTCTCGCTTGCGCTATCCGAGGGAGTGGCGGGGCGAGGGCGAGGGCGAGGTCGAAGTCGAAGACAAACAAGTAGAAGGCAACGAGTAAAGGAGACGGAGGACTATTGATAAGGTTTCCGTCAGCTGTGGAGGTAGATCGGGGACAACACATGGACGTACGACGATGAGGACAGCACACGACAGCTAGGCCAGCAATGTCTTGCGGTTCCTTTATTCGCTCGCTTCACCAGAGCTTACCTGCCAGGCTTGCTACGCTACCAACGAGATGTCGTACCGCAGCTAAAGAAATCGAAACGTGGGGCCTTCGTCTAATCTCTACGGGAGCTCGGGGCCGTGCGCGGCGTCGGGGGTAATGTTTGTGGGTAGGTAACTTTGATCTAGCACGACGAGGTTGGGGGAATTTCCCTCGGACACCGAGATCTGAAGCTGGTTGGCAGGGCAAAAAGATCGAATTCCACGTCGACGATGAAGCGAGGTAAGCGATGATTGATGTCGATGTACACCTCCTGAGTTACTGATGATTACTGGAGTACACCTCCTGCTGATGATTCCTATGGCTGTCCTTGCTCCCTTTGTTCCCTCCCTTGTTCGCCTCCCTTCGCTTCGGGCTTTACCTTGAACCAACGAAAGATCCACGAATCAAGAAGGTCGTCGATGTGAGTGTACAACTTTTGCTCGTGTTTGTTTCAGCAACCCGGCTGCCGTAAGCGCAAGCTTCTGTTTAGAGTGGTGAAGCTGTAGATGTGTGTTGGTGATTGTAAAAGGTGGAAGTGGAGCGAAGGAAGGAAAAGAAGAAGCGGAGAAACTCTGTAGTACCTGAGTGTTCGTTGTTCACTGTTCGACAAGCGACCGCTTTCGCAGCCGCCGAGGTGCTAAGAATGGAACTTGCATTGACCGGGATTACACAAAGACTCTATCTAGAGTTGGACCGATCAAGATTGGTGATGATGAGCGAGCAAGACGGCAAAGTTTGAAGCCAGGGACTGGGGAAATTCTGACAATGTTCGATGTCCGACAGCTGGATACCTGAAGACGGAGCTTGTAGTCCGATAAACTTCAGTATTTAGAACTGTGACAACTCTGCGGAACTGCACAATTCGTGCATCACATCCC